TGCTACAGCTACGTAAGATAGCATGCTTGAGAAGCTGGATGAAGGGACTCTAGAGCTTTTACAATTTTCTGTAACTGTGATTTTTATTTTCCAGTAAAAAATTACCTACACTGTGGCCAATATTGTATAAATTCCATTGGATCAGATAAAGTGGGGTTTGGGAAAGAATGCAGAAGGATGGAGGAGATGTGAGTTTGAGTTCCAGATGTACAACGTATTACCTATGCACTTACCGGAGAAGCCTCTTAGGTGCTCCAAACCCCAATTTCTACATATGTAAAATGTGACTGTGAAGACCTGCTTCACCTATCCCAGTGAGGTCATTGTAACCATTTTGTAAAATGCCTAAGAGATTACTTTGAATGAAGTGAAGTCAGCAACCAGCCAGACCCCAAACATGGGGCATCTGTAGCCACAGGGAAGTGACTGTTTCAGCATCTTGCTTGGGTCCTAATTAGGTCACCAAGGAAAGCAATGTGTTAGTTGATAAGGGCTATGGATAACAGTTGATTATAGTGCTAGATCACTTCGAGTCCTTCTGATGCATTCTGTGGAAGGAAAAGGAAGGGGAAGGGGAAAGGACCTATGTGATCATTGTAGTGCTTCTTGACCAGTTAATAAATAGTTAGCCAGCATAACAATAATCATCATTTTCAGTGGAGAGGCAGCCTGCTGCCACAAACGTGATCCTTGGTCCTGAGATGTGTGATACTCCAAATACACAATGAACAAACTCCGATCATACAACAGGATTCCTAAACATACATCCTTACCTAGGCCGTCTGTAGTCTTGCTTCCTGGGGCCCATAATTGAATCTAAGGAAATACTACTTTGGGTCTTCCAAGAGGCATTTTTTGCTCTTGTTGTTAGTTTGTACCTCTTTATCCCCTTCACCTATTTCACTGCTCTGCTCCCACTGCACCCCAGGGTGCCAACTGTCTATTTCTATTTCTATTTCTATTTCTGTTTTGTTTTGTTTTTAGGTTTCACATATAAGTGAAACCATATGGTATTCATCTTTCTATGACTGACTTATTTCACTCACTCAGCATAATACACTTAGGTGCTTCCATGTTGTCACAAATGGCGAAAACTTTTTTTATTTTTTAATTTTGTTTTGTTTTTAGGTTTCACATATAAGTGAAACCATATGGTATTCATCTTTCTATGACTGACTTATTTCACTCACTCAGCATAATACACTTAGGTGCTTCCATGTTGTCACAAATGGCGAAAACTTTTTTTATTTTTTACTTTCGTCCCCATGACTAATTTATGTTGTGATTGAGATTTTATGCATCTTTTATGTCTTTTATCTAGTTCATTAGAGGTACTCTAATTAATTGTCCAGAGCTTATCTGTTCACAGCCTTTTTGTCTGAACTACCTATAAAGGAAAGTTTTCCTAACTAGTTTTAGCCAACATCCAACAATAATTGCAGTACTAGTGGTCATAGTAGTAGAGATGCCATTGTAGTAATAGTAATAACAACAACAACAATAAAATAGCTTACGTGTATAGAGTGCTTACTAGTTACAATGCAGTATGACAAGTATTTTGCCTATATTAACTAATTTAATTCTCACAGTACCAGGAGATAGGTTCTGTTACTGTCCCCATTCTACATGTTAGGGAACTACGATACAAATTGGCTCAATAACAGACTTGCTCAGCTAGTAAGTAGCAAGCCCAGGATCACTTCAGCCAGGCTGTGTGGTTCAGGAGTCTGTGCTTTCAATCTTTATGCCATGCCAGCTTTCACACATGCTTGTCCCACACCTTTTGCAGCGCCACCAATGTGATTTTTCTGGAATTTGATTTTTCTAAGAGGAGACAGTTTCTTCTTGGCTATTTATGTAAAACATAGTTTTGAAGATACTGTTTACTTTGAAACTTGGGCATGGCTAAGGTAATATATGAAAGTGTTGTACCTTTCCTTTTTGAGGATAGGCTAGATCATCAGTAGTAGTTTGCAGTGTAGTGAAAGAGTCTCCATTTTGGACTTTCCTATGTCTTGGTTTAGCTTTAGCCACTTCCAGATTGTTTCCGGCTGCTCAGTGATGTGGCGGTCAACCCCGGTATGTAGTCACAAATCTGAGCTTCCCTGCCTACTACTTTTGGGATCTTAGGCAGATTATTTAATGTCTTTTTGTCTCAATTCCTTCATTGTAGAATGAGAAAACTTAGTTCATATTCATATAATTTTAGGGAGAATTAAATGACATATGTACCACATTTAGCTCCATGATTGGCACTGTCTACGATCAATACTGTTATGGGAAGTAGTGATAAGCAAAGCAAGGTTTGGAGAAAATATGCTACAGTTCCTCTCTTTAAAGTTAATTAGTTAAGACATTAATGAAAGCATTTACAAGTATCACCATATATTGTGCTTTGATTGCCTCCAAAGAGGTAAAGTTATTAATTTAACAAAATATCTAAGGTAGGTGAAATTCACGTGGTACAGAGAGCCTGTGCAGAAGGCTTACGGCAAGTGCATGGGTATGAAGAAGTGTTTGAAGACAGACAGGGGCTCAGATATTCCAACCTCATTGGGAGAGAGTATTTGAGTCATGGAAACTGCATGACAAATTCATTCCTACCTTCCATTAGGCAGATAATTTAATTCTAGAGAGGTAGGAATGAATTCCCACATTTGTAGGGCAGTGATGGGGCCACCTCATCAACAAAGAGGGTTTGTTTCAAGGATATTGGGAGATAAGTTAGAAAGCATGGATGTGTTAATTAACTCAAAGGGGGAAGTCCTTTCCCAAAGTATGCATATATCAAATTATCACACTGTACCCCTTAAATATCTTACCAGTTTTTGTCATTTATACTGGGTCAGTAAAGCTGGAGAAAAAACCCTTGCTTTTAGAATATTGCATAAAACCATACTTTCTCCATACTCTTCTTTCATGGGCAAATCTCTCTGAGAAAACCCTAACCAACCTCAAAAGATCAGTTCAAATACTACCTTTTAGATGAAGACTTTTCTCCCTATTAGCAGAATTTTTTTCCCTCTCATGAGCTCTTACCCTAGTTTATCTTTCTTCCTCTTATCTAGAATGATCACACATGCAGGTTTGAGTTGCGCCTGCTACCCCAGTGTAATTATTAGCAGAACCCCCTTCATTCTAAAGTAGGTTCTGTTTGTACGATAAAACATAAGGTCACCTACTTATAACTCTTTCTCAGTTGTCCCTGTGTTCTACTTAGTTACACAGTAACCCCCATTAAAATGTTCTATGAGCAGAGAACATATCTAGTCATGTTTGTATTCCCAGTAGAAACCCTAGTAATTATTTATTGAATGAATTTAAATGAGATTGAAAACTCTTGGAGTCGAAGTCTATATTCTTAGACTTTTTGTGTCCCTACCATCATCTGTCTTCACACCTGCACATGCCAGGTGTTTGATGGTCTTCAGATTTGATCAGACATCCACAGGGTTATACTATTTCTGGAGGAAGCTGGAGATGACGTTAGCACACGCTAGAGGTGTGTCCTTATAAATCTTCTCTTCTCACTGCTAGGTAATCCATGCATGTTTCTCACTGACGGTTTGGGTTGATCTTAAGGTCTAAAGAAAAAATTTTCATCTGAAAATCCGAAGTGCTAAACCAAGTGTCATATGCATGTGTGTGTTTTACCTAATTGCATGTGGGTGACTAAAAACAGCTCCATTTTGTAGATTTTTATCTTATTATTGGATCTCTGTTAGGAAATTTAAAATAAAAATTAATGAAGATAGATGATATTTCAGTTGTTTGCTATATTGACCTAATAGTACACTTAACAAACTCTATTAAATTTTTAGTTTTGTCCAATTAATGTTATTTCGTTGGGGTTTCTAGTTGATTTTTCAACTCCTGTTTTGTAACCTTTTATGACTTAAATAACCCTACCTGATTCTGCTTAAAATTTCTAAGAAATTATGCTAGCAGATGTTAAAGGTGCTCAATGACATAAACTTTCCCATATTGTTTATTTCCGAGTAGTTGTTTAGATGACTCTTGAAAATGTCCTGATTATGAGAGGAAATTGTACTTATCTGTGAAATCTTGATTTCTAACTTAGAATCTTCTAGTCCATTTTGTAGTGTTAGATCCATTTCCCCCATATCTTGTAGCTGAAGGATGATGCAGCTATTTGAATACGTATATTGCTGCACATCAGGCATCCACCTGAGGGTATGTTCCGAACTCTGAAAATTAAACTGCCGGGAGCCCCTGAAGAGAGCTCTGAGAGTAAATCCCATTTGTACTCAGAGCACAGCCCCGTGCTCATCAGCATTCCCTATAACCAGTGCTATTCTTTTGAAAATACTTGTTGGTAAATGCTCCTTTGCCAGGCTGTTTTAGCTGGTCTTCCTCTTCAGGTTTACCCTTTCTGTTCTAAGAAACAGTGGACTCTCTCACATGGGCTTGTTTCTCTTCCTTTTTCATCACCTTCGGGGAGCATTTCCCAGCCTCAGCACTAGTGGCATTTTGCACGGGTTTGTTCTTTCTCGTGGTCACCCTTCCTGTGCTTTTAAGATGCTTAGCAGTTCCCTGGCCTCTCCACACTGGAGTCCAGTAATGAGTCTATCCAAAACCATGGTAACCAAAAATATCATTACACATTGTCAAATGTTCCCATGGGAGAAGGGATGCAAAACTTCTCCCAGTTAAGAACCACTGCCTTGGAGCTTCCATGGAAACCTTTGCAGAACATGGAAGAAGCAAGGACCTTAGACCAACACTTAGCAGTTGTGTGACTTGCATAAATTGCATGACTTCTTTGACACTCAGTTTCTTTACCTGCAAAGTGGGGATGATAATGCCCATCTTTTAGCGTCATTGAGGTTTCAACCACATAAGGCATTGAAACTGCCAGACATGTAGTAAGGTCCCAGTGCACGGTAGTCACTGTCGTTCTTTCTTGGTGAGTCTCAGCTGACTTTTCCAGCACCAGTGATTCCAACTTAAGGTGTCTCTATTTCTCACCCTGCAAACAGAGCACGACGAGTGTGGCAGTGGGCAGCACAGCTGTGATGAGAATGCCATCTGCACCAACACTGTCCAGGGACACAGCTGCACGTGCAAACCGGGCTACGTGGGCAACGGGACCGTCTGCAGAGGTAGGCCTGCTACCTTGGGCCAGCTGTGAGCTGCCTCTCTGCCAGGGCTCTTGGTTCTTGTGCAGCAGATCCTTTTCGCCATTCTGGTGGCTGAGCGTGGCCAGGTTCCTGTTTCTTGTCTGTCAGTTGGCAAGGGCACTGTGCATCAGAGAAGAAGAAAAATGCTTTGTGTCTACCTTTTGGGTTGAATGAAAAAGACGTGAGCATGGGTCAGGGGCGCAGGTCCACAACTTGATGGCCCTCTTCCACTTTCCCTCTTGGCCTGAGTTTGCGAGTGATGCTCTGATGGCTAATGTTGGCTTTTATTCCTTGTGACCTTCCTTCAGAGAGCAAGTGGGGCACTGCTTATGGTCACACTGGAGGTATCTACTTGGATAGGAAGCTTCAAGAATGGTGTCAGGCACATTGTACACACTCATTTAATATATCTTAATTAACTGAATCAACCAAAGAGGAAAGAGACACAATCACATTGAAAAAGAGGCAAAATGTACAAAAAAAAAAAAAAACAAAACAGGAAATAACCCTTTGAATTAGGTATTATCATCATCCACTTTGTAGTGGTAACAAAACTGAGACACAGAAAGGTTAAGTGACTTGACCAAGGACACACAGCACATTATCAGTTCTCTGCAGAGAGCACATGCTGAGGATGAGAGGGAAATAATGTACCATGACTAAGATTAGATTTGACTTAACTATACGTTTGTGAGGCTGTGGCAGAGAGCCTCTTACATGACTGAGAGTGTAAACTGGTTAAACTTTTTTATGACGATTGCAATTGGACAAAATCTATCAACATTTTTCAAATAACTATGAAGAATAACATAGATATTTTCTTGGTTCCTTCAATCAACTTTACTTCTTGATGTGTGCTCTAGCAAAGCACCTGCTCATGAGGGAAATGCACATACAGTGTTCTTGCTGCCCATTTGTGTTCATCAAAAACAAGAAATAATCAAAATATCCATCAGTAATGGGTTGATTTAATTTATTTGGCATATCATTTCATGGAATAGAATACAGTGGTTTGAAACTAAATGTATGTACACATACACACATACATATACGTACAAAGATCTCTAAGACATGAGCTCCAATGCATTTTTCCAAGGGAAAGAGGAGAATAAAAAGAAAACCAAGCTACAGGATAATACATTTGGTATCATCTCATGTTCTCTCATATTATTTACAAATACCTCTATTTGTATTTATGTAAATGCATAGAGACTGGAAACACACAAACTGTATCTTATTACCCATGGGTGTGTGTGTGTGTGTGTGTGGAAAAGAGCATTCATTCCCTTATTGCTATGTATACAATATTGTTTGCATCTCTTCAAGTGGGAATTTATACATGTAATATTTGTGTGTGTGTGTGTGTGTTTAAGTTCCATGGGCAAATAAAGGAACTACTGCTCAGCTTTTAAAAGAAGGCTGAAGATATTTGCAAAGCTAACAATAAAACATACACATTAATATAGTTTCTTGGATTATCAAACCCATTGTCAGGACCTACATGTTCATGCTGTAAATCTGGGTAACAACATAAGGATTTTATTTTAAAGCATTTTTTTTTCAGAGTTATGTTACCTCGTAAAATAATATTAATAGTACCGGTTCAGTGAGTTTGCGTTTGCCAAGGCTTATCATGCCATTGAGATAAGTAGTGGCTGCACCTTTGTGGAATTTGAAAGTCTGACTGTGAAAAATATGAGTTCAAATAATATTTCTTGTGCCTACAGACTCTGAAAGTTATGAATTAGGGAAAATAATTTTCTTGAAGTGATTCTTATGGTCAGTAGTGTTAACCTCAGTCAGGGAGAACCTGTGTGTTGTGAATGTTGCATGGGGAGGTGGTACAGGGTAGTTGGGGAACTGGACAAAGAGGTTGGAGAGCTGGGGTGCAGACCTGATTTCATTACTGGTCAGTTGTGACTTCTGTATTTTTACATATGAAAATTGGGTCCTTATTACCTCCCATGTTTATCCAACAGTGCATTGCAAAGAATTATTAAAGGAATAGATATCAATGTGTTTCTAACTATCAGATGCTGTATAAAGTAAAGACAGTATTATTTATCAGTGGTACAATGATGAAGGAGAAGGCAGCAGTTCATGAACTGACTTAAACCTCTGCCTTCTGACTGAAACACCCGAATGTTTCTCAGTTTCAAGGCATACATTTTATAGTTGACATTTCTACCGAAAGCATTTCTAAGTGAAACATTTACGGAGGGAACTGGACAAGGATACCCAGATAATCTTAATTCTTTTATTTTTTAATGTATAAAAGCTTTTCTAGACATGGTGTTGTTCATGGAATTGACTACATCTGGGTAGAAATAAGCACTGTTAACATTTCTATTAATAAGCAAAACACAAGGCAGCATTTTTTCAAACAATACTAATTGGTGTGAATTCTCTCAGATGAGCTTTCCTGGTGGCTGGTATGTAAGGAGGTCTTTTTGTTTGTTCCTGTTTTTTTTTTTCCCTCACATGGATGGAAAATACCAGTTCAGCTTCAACAGTAGTCACCACGTGTGTGCAGAACACCTTGGGTGTGTCTGTATATGTCATCTCATTTAGTTCCACCATTACCCTGGGAGGCTGATACCATTATTCCATTTTACAGTAAATCTTGAATAAGACACCGCTGAGTCTGATCTAACCCATTGGTGCCACTGCTTTTGGATTTTTCCCTCCCTTCTAATCCCTTTTTCTTTTCTGTTTTTCTTCCTTTCTTTCTCTTTACCCTTCCTCTTCCTTCCTGGGTGTTCATCATTTAATATTGCATGCTCTCTCTCTGTCTCTCTCTGTCTCTCTCTCTGTCTCTGTCTGTCTCTGTTTTAGATAGTCTGAGACTACAAAGAAAACAGGAAGGGAAGAGACAGTGCAATGACAATCTGTAATTTTTAAAAATTTGCTCACATTTTTGATAAATGTACTTTTGAAACGATGCAACATCTGTTGCTAAATATTTTGGATTAAGTGAACAAAGTACTTGCAAACTGTCTGAAATCAGATTTACACAACCTGACCTATGAGGGTTGAGGTTGTCTGTGGGAGAGTGTTTATTTGCTTTTCCAGGCCTGCATTAACCTGGAACCTAAGGTGGCTTTAACTCAGCAGTTGTCAATACGTGACTGACCAGCTAAGCCTCCTCTCTTGTCTGTCATTAGGGCTGGACAAAATGTGATGATACTTGAGAGCCTGCTTGTCTTAATGAGTGATAATATTGACCTTTATTTCACAAACATACAGTGAGTGTGGTTTCTGTGTCTGGCACTTAGCTCTGGGCACCAGAACAGCAAAAGACAAATAAAACAAGGGCATTGGAGATTTCACTGTTTAGCATGGGAAAAGGGTTTGAGCAAATGCTTCGAACCCAACAGAACAGGTTACCAAATGGGTTACTATGATGCGAAAGAGGCTTATAAGAATTGCTCAAAATATAGAGCCATGTGAAAGGCCTATGATGTGTTTGTTAGGACTTCTTTGGTTACAAGTAAGAGAACTCTACTGGTAGGATTGGTCATGTAATTTGCAGAGCGCAAAGTAAAAGGAAAGTGTGGGGTCCTTTTTCAAAATAGGGAAAATCTGTGCAAAGGTACAAAAATATAAAGCTTTTACCTTTCTTTTGTGCTTTCTATCTCAACCTGTCATGGTGTTTTTATTTGCTATTTAATGTTACTCCCTTGGCCATGGGAATACTCTTGGGGTGAGTGCAGACCCTCAGAGGAGATTCTGGCCTGTTCCCCAACCTGGCTCATGCACTTGGCCCACTGACTGCAGAGCTTCCCTCTGCCCTGAGAAATGCACTGTGACCTGGCTGGTACAGTGTCAGAGCCACCTGTCTCCCCTTCCTCTGAGCCCTCCACTGCAGTCCACAGCCAATGGACAATCAAGGGGACTACAGTTTCCCCACCAGTTCCCTGGATCACCAGCTTGGAGTGGGGATGACACAGCCATGTTCCACCTAGGAACACCAGAGCATGCATGCCTAACGCTGACCCTACTTTTGTGTGTGCCCAGGACTCTGCTGGGGGTGGAGAGCAGCAGTTGTTGCTGGGAAAAGAGGGACAGGCTGTAAGGGACCCTAGAGCACCAGGGACAGGGGAGTGAAGAGCCAAGGACCCGTCCTGGAGCAGCGAGGAAGTGGAAGGAGGGGAGACCATACATGAGCTAAGGCCCCAAACCTGTGGAGCACGCTCCATTGTCCCAGTAGACTGCACTTGCAAAATACAAAATCAAAGATGGAAATACTCAGGACTTCAGGATGGTGCCCACAGAGCTGTAGTCTTTAAGTATGAAGTCTTCTGAGGGAGGGGCCAGCTGAGTGCATGCTGGTGAAGTTGGATGTGCCTGCAGTATCAGAGGGCTCCCCAGCTGTGTCGTGGCTCCTCAGGGCGGCAGATGGCCGGGGGAAGAAGCACGTTGCTCCAGGAGCTGGGGTGCTGATAGTGCTCTTACCTCCTGTCTGCTTTGCACTTCTCTCTGGACCAGTTCCATAGTTCTCTCTCATTACGGGCTGGCTTTCTGATTGTTTGTCCATGTGTTTGAGGATCAGATCCTCTGCTCACAAACTTGGCCTTATCACCAGACCTGAGATGATCAATCTCTTGGGAATGAATATATTAATTTATTATGATCCCTGTCATATTTGATCACAGGGATAGCCTAAAAATGATACCCTTGTTTTCCCCGGCCTGCATTCAGAACCGATTGAGAGACAGATAAAGAAATGAAGCACGCGAAGACCAAAATGTCAATGTGAGTACTGGTACAGGTCGCCCCGGAGAACATTGCTTGTGTGTGTGTGACAGTGGTGTTCATTATACCGAGTCCCCACATTAGGCTTATGCAGCCAGTCACAGGTGGAGCAGGGCCACTCGTGGAGCAGCTGTATGTAGGGCCTCCTCTGCACCCTTTAGGGCAGGAGGTATGGCCCAGAGCGGGTGTTTCCTGTGGGCTGTGGATCTCCTGATTCCTAGTGCATG